AAGAATACCATTGTCACCAGCAGAAGATGAAGGATTACCATTCAAGTTCAAACGCAAACAGTTTCCCATAAGATTATGTTTTGCAATGACAATTAATAAATCCCAAGGGCAAACAATACCTAACGTAGGTATTTATCTACCTGAACCAGTGTTCTCTCATGGCCAATTATATGTTGCTTTATCGCGAGGTACTTCTATGATGACAACCAAGGTCTTAATAACATCAGATGAAAAAATGGCAGAAGAGGAACAATACACAAAAAATGTTGTATACAAGGAAGTTCTCCAGCCAAAGGACCACGGGGAATAATTCAAATGACCAATAACATTTTTGAAGGTTAGTAATTTATTATATAATAAGTAGATGCAATTTAAATTAAAGTTTTTTTCTTAAAATTAATTAAAAAAATTACAATTCATTATTACATCATTCAATTTGTTCGTTCAAAATCATGTACTAATTAAATTTAAAATAACTTTAAACATTGTAAATAATATTATTAATTAATAAATTCAAATTACTATAATTAGTGTCACATCTTTGATATAGAAATAGTCTCATTTAATTTTCTTTTGAGTTTATTTAGTACTTCAAATGCGTTGTTATTTACATATAACAAACTATTCAAAACCTTGCAGGAACGATGGCATCCACCAACGAAGCAACAATTCCACACATACAAATACGCCAACTAAAAAAATTCCAGAGAGAGTGGACCATTCTTGTTGTTATCCTAAGAACTATTGAGTCATCTTATGAGAACAACAAAGGATCAGGAAAACTACTGGAAATAATTTTTGCCGACTCAGAGGTAATGTAGCAAAATTCTACATGCTATAATTCTATTAATATTTGTTGATACTTATTCTTAAATAAAGTAATACATACAATGTTTAAGTACAATATGCATCACTTTTTATCATGCCATAGCAATCGTTATTTTAAATCTATGCAAATCCTTCTTAATTTTTTAAAAAATTATAAATATAAATTATAAATATTAATTAAATTATAATTGTTGATGCTTATTCTTATATTAATTATTATCACCTTACTATGTATAAGATCATATAAAAAAATCCTAAATTTATTAAATAGGTAAGCAACATGTAATTTATTTTCCCAAATTTTATACAACAAATATCATGCTTCCTTCGTAATTCTACATAAATTAATTGTCTACGTATGTCTAACAATATAAGTAAGCAAATAATTGGAATATGACATCAACACAACATTGTATACACACTGCAACAAAATAGTTATTATTTAGACTACATTTTTAATAAGCATATTTAACATTATTTTAATATTTAGTTGCATGTTGAATCTAAATTTTGAGCATATTATTTTATCATGTTAATCCCTCAACTTAGTTGGTGTTCCAAAACTTTGGTAGAATTGTTTATACAAGTAGGGCCTATTTGAATTTTTTTTCAAAGAGCTAATCCGTATAAACGATTAAATTTGTTTATTGAGATCAAATGAATTATTAGTAAGTAGTAGAAACTCTAATTCAATTACAGGTAACTTTATATAAATAAGGTTTGTTTTGTTGATAAGTTAAAAGATAAATTTTTTTTTACACTAATATTATGGATACATTTCAATTAAACCTAGAGAATGTTTATTTAAAAGTTTCCCACATAAGTATGGTTATTGATATTTGTTGATATTTGTGAGATAATATTATTAATATTTGCAGGGGAAAAAATACAAGGTATTATGTTTGGAGAAACTATTGAAATGTATAAGCACATGCTTCAGAAGAATAATGTTGTTTACATCTCAAATGGAGAAGTCAAACCAATAAACCCGCTTTATGGAAATGTACATGAGTCAATTGAGTTGACATTGACTAAAAACATTTATATCAAAGAATCAAAAGCAGAGTTTCAATTTGATAAGATATTGACTAACTTTATCTCAATCAAAGACGCAATTTCAAATGAGGATACAAGGAATATAAGTAAGTATTTGTAAACACCTTTTATTTTTAATTTTAAAATTTATAAATGAATTTTTAACTTATTATAAATTTATGTGCAGATGTTCTTGTAATGATAGCAAATGTCAAGCCTATGATCAAGTACGTTACAAGATATAATAAGGCAGACACAAGGCAGGACATCATTATAGTAGACAAAGAGTATACACGCATGCTTTTATTTCACAATAATTTTTTTATTCAAAATATAATATATTAACCTAAAATTGCCTAACTTCTCTTACACAGTGACATAACATTGTCTGTAACTTTATTCGGAGATTTAGCTGGCAATGAAGGTTCTATGATTGAAGGAGATATGCATGAGACAACTATAATAGCGCTATCAGATTTTAAAATATCATTGTACAAAGGTAACATTTTTTAAATTGAATTTTAAATTAATTATCAAAAAAATATCAAATTCTAATTATAACTATTATATATGCACAGGAGATGTGCTTGACTTCGCAAATTGCATCAACAATATGTATCAACCCTGATATACAACTTGCTAAGGACATGCGACAATGGTAATTCAAATAAAAAAGGTAACTTAATAAATTAAAATTTAAATATTTTTAAAATTATATGCAGGGCTCTTTCAAAAGAAAATATCAAGACTAATGGTGCTCCGTCAAGGCTATTTAAAAATGCAACGAAAATTAATCTTGTTGACATTATGCAAGCTTCACAAGAATCATCAAAAGTATGATATTAAAAATCCTACTATAAAATATTAATGAATCAATAGCTTCAGTTTTAAAAAAAAAATATTATAAATAGATATTGTTTCATTGATGTTTCAAATACATTTAAAATTATTACTTTTACATAAATTTTAAAAAAAATACATTTTTGCCTATATTTTTTTCAATTATTTTAAAAATTTTAATTTTTTTACTAAATATATGTAAACTACGATTATAACTAACTAAATTTTTACAAATCTACAAGCACAATATGGTAGCTTTATTGGAAAAATAAGTAATATCTTAAATAGACATGAGGCTTGGTACTACTCATGCACAATATGGTAGCTTTATTGGAAAAATAAGTAATATCTTAAATAGACATGAGGCTTGGTACTACTCATGCACAGGCTGCAAAAAATAAGTAATATCTTAAATAGACATGAGGCTTGGTACTACTCATGCACAGGCTGCAATAAAAAAGTGGACAAAAATATTTATGACAAATGTCAAAATTGTCAAAAAAACAATGAAGACAGTATACCCAGGTAAAGTACTATCAATTACTTATGAAATAAAAATATAAAGATTAAATATATAAATATCATCTGATGCACAATGATAATACAAAATGTAGATATCTTGTTAAAATCATAGTGGAAGACGAAACAGACAATGCAAGAGTCACACTTTTGACGCAGCAGAAACATTGATAGGCTGCGATGCTAAAAAATTCATGGATGATATAAAAGAGGTAAATTCTTACTTTATTTTATTTTATGCATATAAAACAATATTTTTCATGTATAATATCTTATTTTTTTCCTCATTAAAACAGAAAAAAAAAATCAGAGTTCATTCTTTCAAAAGTTTGTTCTCAACATCGGAAAGACGTACAAGTTCCTTGTAAAGTTGGATGAGAAGTCAAAGGATGAACGTGCACAAGGAAAGATAATAGCACAAGAAAGACAAATCCAAGAAGACATCACAATCAACATTGATGATGATGGTTCATTTCTCGATTTACCAAAAAAGAAGATCAAGGTGGAGAAGGATTGATCAAGGGCCTACAAAAATTGAACATTAATGTTTTTAAATTTTAATTACATTTACAAATTGGTTAAAGGATTTTAAATTTGCTTTTCATAAGCTTTTAAGTTTATTAATTGATGAATTTAATTTGTTAGAACAATTTATGATTTATACGCATATGCTCATATAGTTGTTTGATAACTATTGCATGCTTTGATTGTTATTGCAGTTATTAACTTAAATTAAACATTTAATTATGTGAATCAAATTACATATTCATAGAATAGTTCACTTTATTAATTTAAATTTGAATGTCAACTATTTTTAACTTATCTATACTGCACAAAAAATATTGACGATGAGTCATTCTCAAGAAAAATGATGACCAAGCACAGCTCCCTGAAACTGATGAGAGGAAACAATAGCTTTCTATAGAGAAGGTAGCTAATTTTACAAAATTGTTATTCTAATTTATTTCTTTTAGTAGTCAAAATTTATTTGTATCTATTTTATTACATGTCCAGGTTCTCAAAGTTTTTAAAAGAATAATCAATGAAGATTGCCTACTACTAGGTTTCATACCGAAAAATGATCATCTAGATTGGATGATATTACAGCTTTGATCATGGCAGGTACATATCAAAATGAAGTTCAAAATTTTGTTTGTCTACATATTTTTTTAGAAATAATTCGTAGTTGAAGTCATGTTAGGAGAAAGAGTTTTCACTGCTACAAAAACTAGATAAATGAAATCTAATCATATATCATCTTAAATAGATAAAAGGTTAATTATTAGAATCAATATATCTGCAGTTAACTCATCTAACCAATGCACTGCTTGCAACCAGAAATATGTCTCCAACCTTGAGCTACAGATCCATCTACTTGGAAATTTCATCAATGCACCTTGTTAAGTACCTGGCAGAATTGGTTGCTCATCCTGTTGGTTCAAATGCCCTTGATGTTGCATTAGAGGTACTCCTTTCTTTTGATAACATCTACTCAGTGCTGGAAAATAAATTTTACCTTGTACTTGATTATCATGTGATAGCATGAATAACCTTTAATGCCAAGTTATAGTACTTTATCTGATATTGAGCTCAAAGTCAGGCTAATCTTTTGAATTACATCTCAGAGAGCATTTTTTTGCTTTATCTTAATGTACTACAAAGAATTGGTAATTCTACTGAAGGCAATTGTGTCTCTGTTGATGAGGGCTTACTGGATGCTCTCTCCTCCTTTCTGCGGTACACCCTACATTAATTCTCTCCATATTTACTTTTTGTAGAAGAACGTCTTATGATAGTCTTATCAGTAGAAAATTGCAGTGGAAAGATTGTTCATGGAAATGTCTGCTCAAATATGATGTGACAATGTGTGAAAGAAAGGTGTTTGCTGTTTGCATAACTATACATTGTAAGTAGTGATTTAATGTTGTTTTGAGTACAGTTCTTATTAAAGCCTCAATATTTGGTGTCTGTGTAGATCATTGGGGATGAAAAGGACTTGCTTAATCAGTTGAATGATAAATGTAACTCAAGCTTCCCTGCTGAGTTTGAGAAAAATACCCTCCAGACATTAGGACATGGGAACCCAACTCCTATGAAAATTCTTAGGGAGAATCTTCTATTTTGCATTGCAAGTGGAGAAAAGTGTTAGACCCTAGAGGGGGGGTGATTAGGGTCTTATGCTAATCTAATCCGATTAAATGCCAATTAAAATTAATTAATAAGTTATCCTAGCAAATATGATATACCACAAGATATATAAGCTAGGATAAGCAATGCAAACAAAGAGATATATCCTATATGATGAATATGTATATGCAAGGATATATAAACTAACACAAGATGATATATCCTATCAAAGAGATATACAATATGATATATGTAAGGATATGCAAACACAAGGGTAAACAATCTAAACTAGATAGTGGGCAATATAATCAACAAGCAATATACAAAGGCGATATAAGATATGAACATAAAGGTAAGTGCGCCAATGCAATCACAAACAACCAATATGATTACGGAGTTCGGTCCCCACGACCTACGTCTCCGTTCCTCACCTCGAGGAGATCTCCACTATCACAACCGGGTTTTCTACGTTCACCCGAACAACGTTTACACCTCACAATACAATCACTATGTAATCACACCTCACACACACTAAGTGTTGTTCTGAATTTTTTTAAGGAGTGCTTTGAGAAACCTTTTATGATATAGGATGTTATTACGATACTATTCTTATAGGATTCATAATGCCGAGCACGACATTGAGGACAGGTAAGAAATAAGAATAAGCTGAGTCTGGCTATTTTTTGGCTTGACAAACAAAAAATGATATACACTCTTTACCATATCATAGGAATTCCCTCACTGTTTTCTTTTTCTTTTTCTTTTTCTTTTTGACAGTTAAAGAATATTGACTTTTAATATTATATACCAAAAACCTAACAGTTTGTTGCTACCTGTGGAACAGGCTGCTTACTTTGCAAACCCTTTACAGGTGGAACTTCTTACAGTTATCAATGTATATGACTGCAAGTATAACAAATTACTAACCATATCTGAGCTTGCAAATTATCCTCTTAAAACATTGTTGTTTACAAGCCAGAACTTGGAATCACTTGTTGGATTAGTAGCAGAAATATGAACTATTTTACAGAAAAACAACAATGTCGTGTTCAACTTCCTGTCCTCTGATTGTGCTACAAAGGTGTTCCTGTTTCCTCAGGTAAATTCCA